ATGTAAATGAAAATCAAATCAGCCAAAGACAAAAAGAAAGTCCCTTGTAACTAGATGGAAAACTAAGCAACCATTGATTTCCCAACATAGTTTTAAACGGTTGTTTATACAATCATGTGAGGAGGTCAGGTCAGTCTAGCTCTGTCATACCAGGGGCTGGACTCTTGCTGGTGTTCACATGTTTTAAAATATTGAATTCATGGATATTTTTAAACAGTTTTTGGTGATGAGTTGCATTTTGCACAAGATGTTCTTGAATATATTCTATTTTAAAACAATTGGCATGGGAGACAGGTGATTACTTTGCCAAAGTCAATGTGATAGAAATAGAAAAATGTACTGACAATAGCCTCAGTAAATATCTACTAGAATAAAGAAGGGTGTGACCAGAGCTTTGTAGCGTTACAACATTGTAAGCAACTATAGAATTAAAGGCAGGGACATTTTAACTTAAAATGACATATTTATTCAAACACCCAGTATACAGATAAGTAAAGATGTAAAGAGATCACACACTGCTCTCTCGCTCTCTCACATACACAACCGATTATATGAACAGACTCACACACACAGTGTCATGTGATCTGACAGCAGCTGTTATGTTAATGTAATTACTCCCTCTAGTGTTCAGCTTCTCAGTTTGCAGTTGTGTATAACACCTGCACTTGTCTGTTTCCAATTAACTATCTGTAGTTTGCATCAATTATAATGAACTGGTATTAGTGGTCCATTTACTGGCCTGTCAATAACAACATGAGTAGACGCCCAGTGACAGTGCCCATGTCTTGTTTTCACTGGCGTAGCATGAGGTCAACATGACCCTGAACTTTTTCATTCATTAGTGGACTGGTTTAGTGCGGGACAGGATTGCTGGCGTGGCTTCAGCCCACCCATCATTCACACAAAAATAGAAACTCAAATTGGTTGAACTGTTTGCAAAACCTTTGAACTGATTAATCATTAAGAGAAAGAGCGACACATTGATGCGTTTAGGTGTTTATTACTTGATATTATAGGGTTGTCCTAAGATATTGCAAAAATAACTGTGATATATATAAACAAAAAAGTAATATTAATATAATTTCAATAATACACATATACTATTGTTGCTTTGCTTTGTCTGATTTTCCCAACAACCCCATACACACACATTTAGACACAAAAAGACAATAACACACAATAAACAATCAAGCTATTACATTTGACTGAATGCGTTATCTATTTTTTTCAAAGGTTCAAAGATATTGCAATCAATTTTCTTTTGTTAACTCTTTTGGACACAATATTCATGTGAAAATCTGATATTGTGACATTTGATATGGCTAAATATTTTTGTTTGATGGTTGCAATTGCTATCATTGCTATATACAGTATAGTATTTTCATCATAACACAATAAATGTCCTGGTTAATCTATTTCATTTGACTATATACTCAAACTACAAATGTAAATCAAGTCTTAAGGGATGCACAGCACTTTTCACAAGCCAAATACACTAGTTGCCACACCACGCAAGCACAATGCCTGCAGCTCTAGTAGATATGAGATGTGATTTCCTTGATGCGCAAAATAGACTAGAGTGACTTAAGAGGTGTTGGGTAGTTGGCTTGGCTGCGGTGATGGATGTTCCTTCAACTCCGAATCAGTCCTGAAGCCAAGATTGAGGAGCTCATCTCCAGCTATGATACACTTAGGGACTAAATCAATTTATTTGCCCCCTTCGTCTCCCAGACTAACACACTCCCATGTATCTATTTAAAGAAGCAATTCAAGTAAAAGAAAAAGACTTGCAAGTGCCAAGAACATCCTATTCTGGTCTCTCATAACCAAGAGGCTGATTGATACCTTCCTCTCTCGGTTTGATTTGCACATGTCAGAGTGATGTAGGGTTACGGGCCACACCTACAACGTCATATCACATCACCGTATTTCTCTCAGAACCTCAATGGTCCATATGAAAAGGTGGCCTATTTACCAAACCCACGATGACGAAGAATTGATTTAGTACGCAAGGGGCTGACTGACCACTCCTCCTGGCCCCCGAGGATAAATATATTGACGGGATGGACCCAAGGCACTAGATTCCTTGTATTGCTTAAAGAAGTCCTCAGAGTGCAGCAATAGTTTGGGATCTTACAATCAGTACTATGGATAGAGTTACAGTTGTCAACTACTGCTTAGGACTCCTGGGCTTGGTACTACTGCAGGGAGTGCTAAACGTGCATGGACGGAGCATTTATAACCCGGGTAAGTGTACACTAATGGTATTGTTTTAGGTCTCTGCTGCATATGTTTGAAATACTAGAGGATGCTGCATGCACACCTTAGATTAGTGCCATTGGTGGTGTAATGGTTTAGCTTTTCCAATGTGCAACAGGTTAGGAGATGATGTATGTGACATTTCCTGTCAATATTTTTGTCATATTAAGGTTGCTTAAAGTTGTATTTTTCTCTTTGTATGCGCAGGAAATCATGTTTTTAATCCAAAAGAAGACACGGATCCACAGAGCAAGATCCTTGCACTGTTACTACACAAGAGCTTAATTCCTGTTGAGAAAGATGACCCTTTAGGTGAGAGATGCAATTAATTGGTGAAACTAATAGAAATGCATTCCTTGCTTTGATAATGACGACTGGTTTTCCTATTTGCAGGCTTTGAGCTGACCAACAAATTAGCTGAATTAGAGGAGGTAAGAAAATTTACAGATTCTTCCTTGAAGTAACTTTTGGAAAAATTTGGAAAGAAATGAGGATTTAAACCGTATAAACATCTTGAGTTTTTTGTAACTGTATGTTATCGATATAAAAAAACAAGTGAACTCAGAGCAGATATGAGACTACCTGTTACACTACTTCCTTGCAAGTGATTGGTGTATTGATACCGCGGTGACGAATACCTGCCGTGGTGCGTTTAATCACTCATCTCTGCTCGTAGCTGCGGGCGCTGAGGGAGGATCTGGAGCTGGAGAGGGAAATCACAGCCAATTTGGCAGAAGGAAAATCCTCTCAAAAGAGGGGTGAACGTGAGTTACATTTAGTACTTCTGGGTTAAAACGTAACATCCACTCCATTACTATTTGAAGTTAATTCTAACCGTTGAAGTTTTAATATTTAGCATGTAAAATGAATCTATCTTCTTTCGTCAGCAGCTTGCTTCTGGAAGTACTGCGTCTGACACGGATGCAAGGGGAGGAGGATCACTGTGAAATCTTGCTGCAAAGCCCAACATAGCCTTAAGACTCAAATCACCAGTAAAATAATCACACTGTATTTATTCTAGCAATATAGATTTGTACCATAATCAAGTCATCAATAAACATTTTCACCGCACCGAGGTGCTCTCATGAGAGATCTAAGGACTGAGGCTGTTTATATTTAACCTGTAAATAATCAGCTACTCACTGGGAATACTTGAGGGTCAGATATGACAAAATGTACTTGACTGCAAAGACATAGTAATATTTTCGTAGGGATTTGATTTGCTTACTGCTCGTGTTTATGTCGGTCTCTTGTGGCAGAATTTGGCACAAAATTTTTTGTACTGCTGCCAACAAACATCACATCTGTCACTGCTTTTAGAAATGCACTGCTGTTTATTTTACAAAATAAATACAATTATAACGTGAATCTGTGAATCTGTTATTTGAAAGTCTTAAGAGAAAATTATTGGAGATGAGTGGGTTGGAGAATGGAATTGTTCAGGTTTGAGAATTGTTTGCATTACCTTTCCAACGAAAGACGAAAAATACGACTGAACCACTAAGAAAACATTTTAACCGTTGTATCTAGTATTCATCTTTATTTACTTTAGATATCAAAAATGTTAAACAGTGGATATAAATGCAGTGAAGGAATGTGGCAAATGTTGCACATCTGTGGGGAGGGGCAGATTACTGCACAGTAATTAAACGGGGTCTTTTGTTGGGAGGTGTTACAAAGCTGAGTCACAGGCTTAGTCTCGACAATAGAGAGCTGCTGTGAAAATAACTGAATCGCACCGAAACAATGAGGAGAGGAGATTTCCGGGAAACCAGACTGAATATGACGCTCAGCTGCATTTACAGCTGCATTAAATAAAGTGTTGACTTTGCTCTGAGCCAGTGAGTCAATGCAGTAATCTTTCCCAATATCTACGGTAGGGATTATAACACAAAAACAATTTGATCCCTGAGCACTTCAAAAGTACATTTCTATTGACAGGAAAGAAATGAAGAACATCATCTCAGTGAGAGAACAATTATTCCCAAAATCAAACAGAATACCTTCTATCTGTCTCTAAACTAACACACACACGCTGAGAGGTGACACATTTAAAAAGTGCTTCTATAGTTGTGAAATCTACACAAATCTCAAACTAAGTGAAAGTGTTCATCTGCCCCGTCACACTAAATGCATCACATGACACATAACACCATGACTGACCCGATACAGGGAAGGGTGTTACCAGTTTCAGTTCCACCATAAGTGCCAGTACAGTGGGATCAGGCCATTCTGTTGAGATAAGTCTACAGGAAATGGGCCAACATCCTCTATGTCACTCATAAGTTAGCAGTAAATAATAATACGTGCCAAAAGTTCAACATTTCCAGGCAGCCCAAGAATAGAAATAAAAACTCCCGCAAAAAGTTAGCACATAAGGTTAAGGAGAGTCAAACTGTCCAAAGTCAAAACTCACCCTCGTCAAGCAGCAGTACGAAACTGGCTTTTACAGATGCTGTCAGTAAAACAACATTTAAAAACGGAATAATTGTAAATATACAAAAAAGGTTACAATGGGTCCAAAATGTTTGTAGAATTCTCAACGCTGAGTTGTCAAGTAAAACATGGGCACAATGATAGAAGCCTAATGAAATGGGTCATGGCCTACAGCAAATATTGTTATTATTTCCATGTCTATGGCACAGGGTTCATTTGAGGTTCGGACAGTATAAAGGATGTGTGCTGAGATGGGTGACTTTTGGGCGGTTATTTTGGTGGGCCGAACTTGATCTTGTCCTGCAGAGAGGAGCAGCACACATCACAGCAACATCATCATACTGTCAACAGGCAATAATGGATTCTCTCTTCAGAGGTTGGTGGAATATTTGAGCTGGCTTTTGACTGTCCTTTAAGATAAATACATATACTTATAAATGTTTTCCTCAATATTTTTATATTTATTTATCAGGGATTACATGTTTTGCTATAAACTTGATGGAATTGTATGTTGGCCTTTTGTAAAAACAGTGAAAAATCATTACTGCTGAGGTATTAACATATTTAATTTCAAATTGAATCTCATGCAGCAAATGTGTCTTTATTTCAACATTGCAGGAACCCTTTGGACCATACTCATCCTCTTCACACTGCCACACCTCGCCTACAACATGCTGTGCCCCGGCAGCTGCCTGTGTAACTTTAAAGGTGCCGTCAAATGTGTTGGCGACGCTATCACAGATATACCACAGAACCTGCCTGTGCACACGTACCTGCTGCAGCTTAATGGCACTCAAATGAACATCATCAATGAACGGAGCTTGGCTGACCATGACATGCTGTTGCGTTTCAGTCTGACATACAGCCACTTACATGCTATCCATCCCAATGCCTTCCACGTTGCTCCTCAGCTCAAGTCTGTCAAGCTGTCGTCCAACGATCTCTCTACCATCTCTGCTCGGGTCTTCAGTCCGTTGGCGACACTGGAGCAACTGTATTTAGATGGGAACCAGTTGGAGACCATAGCTCCGGATATGTTTGAAGGACTGGTTAGTTTGCTGGATCTGGACCTGAGCCGGAACAAACTGACCAGTCCTGCTTCAGATGTTTTCGATGGACTGACCAAACTCACCTTCCTGAACCTTGGCAGGAACTCCATAAATAAGCTTCCACCAACCATCTTCCACTCCTTGACTAATCTTCTCCAGCTCATGATCTATAACAACGAGTTAGAGGAGCTAGAAGCTGGGATTTTTGATACACTTGTCAACCTTGTGGAGCTAAAGATCCACCGAAACCAGATTACCATCCTTCCCCCTCAGGTATTTTGGTCACTGAAGAACCTTAAGACCCTCACCCTCTCCTCCAACCGACTTCAGGCTATCCCAGAAAAGACCTTCTACAACATGCCAAAGCTGACCAAGCTCACCATTTACAACAACCCGCTATTATCTTTACCAGACCAGCTAATGGGTCACATGCCTGATATGACAGACTTGTATCTGTATGCTACTAATCTCACCACTGTTCCTGGAAATGTGTTCGCAAACATGTCAGGACTTTTGAGGCTTAACTTCCATTTAAACGACAAGCTGAGGGAGTTGCCTTCGGACCTCTTCTGCTGCCTTCCCAAGCTCGAGAAGCTGTCATTGAAATCCAACGACCTCCTTTATCTACATCCCCAGCTGTTCTCCGGACTAACCACACTTGGTATACTGCTTCTCAATGACAATAAGCTGAAGAGCCTACCAGATAACATCTTTCAGGGCCTTGGAGGGGTTTTGACAGTTGATTTGAAGAATAACCATCTCGAGACTCTTTCAGGAGATACTTTCTTGTCAAATTCAGTTTTGAAGGCTCTTAATCTGGGTGGCAACCCCTGGGACTGTACTTGTAGCATTCGAGGTATTGCAAAATGGATAAGAAAATATGAGCATGTTGTTCTTGACGGACAGGATGTGATATGTCATAGACCTGTGTACCAACTGCTCCGTACCATTGGCTCTCTGCAGGATGAGGACGACCACTGAAGGCGCTACCCAACAAGTCACCATCCTTCCAACCACTCCAATTACAAAACTATCTGCCCTACCCTCCACCATCTTATCCACAATGCTCCTAACTCCCACCACCAACGAGGAGTTTCTTCCCAACACTGAGAAGCCCTCATCTCATTACAAGTCGGTTCATTTCTATTACACACTGGTGATTGAAGAGGGGCCGGAGTTTNGCCTACATTCAAAGTATTAAGTGACAAAATCGATGTAACTGAGGTTTCACAAGTTATTTTTTTTCCACGGTGTATCACCGCACGGCTTGGGGGGGGTGTTTGGAAAAAAAATAACTTGTGAAACCTCAGTTACATCGATTTTGTCACTTAATACTTTGAATGTAGGCTATTGTGCAACTTGTTACACTAGGGGATGTTGAGCATGCATGCTTACTGCTCTACGTGCCACAGCTCTGCTAAATGGAGCGGAGTTGTAGGAGTCTAAAGAGGGAAATTATGATTTATCTTTAGCCTTCCCAGTCCCTTATCACGTACAAGAGCATGGTGACAGTTGTTGTAGCCAGTTGTGGTGAAAGCATCTGACTTACTTGAACCGAAATGTCTACATGCATAGCAGAAGATGGCATCTTTTTTACATGAATATTCCATCCAATCTCTGTTTTGAAACCATGAGCTGCAAAATGAGCACCTTACCCCACTGTACAGGCGAGTTGGGTACTTTTTTAAATATACCTACCTGGGCAGGCTCTGTTTTGCCGAGGTCCTCTGGCAGACAATGTTATTTAACCACAATTTATTTTATTTCAACTAAATTATTCATATTATTATTATTATTATTACTACTACTATTATTATTATTATTATTATATATGTAATATTTTTCACTTTTCATTATTCATTTTTTTCACTTTTCATTTTTACAAATGAGGGTGCATAACGACTCAACTGAGGGTGCAATGCACCCTTATGCACCCCCGTAGAACCGGGCCTGGATCTGTGGTCAACTTCAGTGTGAGAACAGCCTGACTGCTTTATTAATAAAGGAAATAAATGTTCATACAGGTATTGGAAGTCCATTTCCTGTCTATTAAAACACTTCAGGGGTCAATGTGTTCTCCATCAGACCCCTTACATCACTGAAGACTATATTTGTCGAGCTGACCTGCTGCATTCTACTTGTAGGTCACTCAATGCTTACTTTGCAAAAGAAAAAGCTATGACAGATGTTTTCAGAGCGTCGCTGTAGAAAAATGAATACTGCCCTTTTTTCATTTATGGAAAATTCTGGAAAAGTCTCCCAAACTGCAGCGTCAGTGGTTGCAGTTTGATTAAGCCGACATAAACCCTGCTTCAGCATCACAGTTACCGGTGTGAATGGTGCAGGGTGCCACAACAATACTGTATCAGGGCCGTGGCACACTACAGTAGACTGCTGCATGTGATTACACACTGTGAGATACTATTGTTGTGCAAGTGTGTGTCCCTGCATGTCTCATTAGATTAGCTGGTGCTTTTATGTGTGTGTGTAATTAGCCGGCATCTTTTTCACATGATGTAAAAAAGGCACTTTGGAGACTCCCTTAAGGGGGTTTGTTCCCTCGCTGCTGATTTTCTGTAAGTGAATTATTAGGAATTGATGAAAATCTCAATCTGATGAGAACTTGTGAATACATTTTCTCTCATCAAAAGCTCATTTTGCTTTAGTGTTTCCTTTTTAAAATATTCTGTGTAGAACTGCTTGCCTTTGATTTTAGGTTAGTGATCAAGGCGGGTTGAAAGGACGTTTTCTGACCCAGACATAACAAGGCCTTCCTTTGATCAGACACAAATGAATATGTGCAGATGGCTGCGATGGCCACATAACCTCCTCATATCCTCCACCTTCAAATAAATGACAGGAACCACTGCTTCTGCTTTTAGGTTCTGAAGGAAATTAGTTGATTACTATTCAAATGTTTTGGGGGGAGCTTGAAGCCTTTTGTCTCATTTTGTCTCTATCTTAACTGGGTTATTTTGTTTCCATACATTGGTCACAATAAAAGGTTAAATTATGCAAAAAGCTCTTTGAGTTAGAAGGCCAGATGTCACCCAGCCTTGCCCTAAGTGCACGTTTGGCTTTTTTAGCTGAGATCCATATTGTTTTGAGTGGCCTTTGTGTTGTCATTAGCCCTTTTTTTTAAAGCTTTAATGATCCATGAAGAAGGGTAATCCCCCTCGGCCCAGTTTGTTGCCATAAGAACTGATCTGCTTTGAGCTAAAAAAAAATCTTTATTTCACCTTTGACCTTGGCGGTCACTGAGGAGTATGCTGCCTGACTTCTGAATATGCAGGGTCCCTTTTGTTTCCTTGATCATATCAACAGATGGCCATCCCCAATTGATTTTCTATAACACATTTACTTCAGATTAAGAAGAGTTTTATTTCCATTTAAAATGTCTAGCCAAGTGCCCATGGAAATCTTTTCTTCACGGCGCTCTCAGCACTTGGCACTTGTTTCTGGAATGTGTTTTTCTCTATTTCAGCTTACAGCTTCTCACTGATATGTCTGAGGTTCAGACACTCTCTCACCCCATCTCCCCTTTTCTGAATGACGCGAGAGCCTTTCAAGGTTGCGTTTTGTTGAATGAACGAGTGTCACGGTGTCTGGTCATGTTTGTTTTGCTGCCTTGAAAGATGAATCAATTTTCCTGTTGAGATGTGGCGATGGATAAATGATAGCCGTATCTTGAGTTGTGACATCAGTTCTTCCCCCTTGGATATATGTTTTTGTAGGTTGTCATAAACTTTAACAATTGATCAGTGTAATCCAAAAAAAATCAATGTCAGCCCTTTGACTTTTTATCAAGTGTCCACAGCTGTGACTCACAGCTTCCTCTTTCAATCCCACCAGTCACAAAGCAGGAACTTTATGGAGCCTCTCGCGGGTAAATTGCCAAACGTAATTTGGTCCTTTTCACATGAAAGCTGCGACCTGATCGATAGCCAGGTGAAAGAGAGCTGAGCGAGTGAGTGATGCCCTCCTTGCTTACAAAGTGTCCGGAGTGCGTCAGCAGGCAGGATTTATCATCTGTTATGTTCCACAACTAGCATCACACAACCTTGGAACAGCACCTCAGCTGCGGACAGTCGTTTCTCAGTGACTAAGAGCGCTCTCTGTTTATCACCAGAGACTGAGCGCCTGTGTCCTCGATGTTCATCTTGTTCTCTTCAGTCCATCTTAACAACACTGCCGCTCATCTGAGAGGAAATACTAACGTGTGAATCTGTAAATAAACTCTCTAGTGCTCTGCTGCTCATCACTTCTCTAATTCCACATCACCACAGGCCCTCTCTGCCTTGTTTGTACACAAGTTTTAAGAGTAGTGCTTATGTGTTTGTGTCCAATAGTTGAGAGCCACTTGGCGTCCAACGTCAATAAGAGCCGTCTGGTGCAGACGGACCTGCTGGTGGCCAAGAAGCTGCAGGAGGAGGAGGATCTGAGGGCCAAGGGCCAGATCCAGAAGCAGCACGTTGAAACGTAGGTGTTTCTCTCACACACACACACACACACACACACACACACACCATGTATACATCAGTTCGGGGGGCATTACATTGACTTACATGCATTTCCTGGAGACTTATCCTAACCTTAACCATAACCAACACATGCCTAACCCTAACCCTTAACCTTAACCTTACCCTAATCCTAAACCTAACCAAGTCTTCACCCTAAAATTAATGATTCCCTTTATGGGGACCTTCATTTTGTCCCCATAAGGGAGGCGAGTCCCCACACGTGACTATGTAAACAGATTTAGGTCCCCACAAGTATAGTAATGCTAGGCCACACACACACACACACACTCTCTCTCCCCATATGGCTATATTAGGGCTGTCACTATTTCCCCTACACCAATATCATTACCAATATAATTCCCACTAACAATAATATTGTGATATCTGTGGAACATTTGAAGGAAAAAAATCAGTCAAATCTATCTCTAACTTTGTTGATTGTGTGTTTTAGTTATTTTTTGGAATATGATTTACACTCAAACAATCTTCACCATGCAGGAGGAGACAGACTATAACCATAACTGTAAAAACAAAAGCTGATTCTTATAGCAGGGTGTCCGCGGGGTCTTAAAAAGTATTAAAAGTTGATAAATCAATTTAGCGAAAATTAAGGCTATTAAAAAGTATTAAAAAGTATTAAACGGCATTTTCCAAGGTATTAAGAAGGTTCACAGCAACGACAACATGAAACACCCTTTCATTTACTGAAACGACATGTCGGGAAACCCCACAAGGCGGCCCCATGCATAGCGCGCCGTAAAATGCTGCTTATTATTTTAAGTTTCGTTGCCTTGCTCCGCTCTGTGGGGGGGGGGGGGACTAAACGACTACGGTAACGGGTCCCAAGGTGGGTAGACCGGCATACGCAACGCTCTGGGGGTCCAACGGCTCCGTGTGTAAGCCCTATATGATCATTTTCTGATAACGATGAAATAGCCCGCCTCCCTCTCCCCACGTCTCCTGCTGCTGCTGGGCTGTCAGAAGAGGGGGAGGAAAAGAGAGGCAGTCACCGTTTATTAAATATTATTATATTATTATGCAGAGGACAGAGTCGTTATCAATTTGTTTTAAAGCTCAATAAATAACAAAGAAGACCTCTGACTGGCACTTTTCTAATTTTGTACGGAAGATTTAAACTTTAACGGACATGTTGACCGGCGGAAATTTTTTTTTACGGAAACTGCCGCACGGTCCCCTCGTTCCTTGGAAGAGGCGGAGAGGTGGGTGTTTTTCATCTGCTGGTGGACTACCTGAGAGATACAGCAGGAGAACACGCCGTCCACCGCGGAGAATAAACAGAAGTGCAACCATGGCAACCATGCTCCGGGGTCTTCTTCGCTGCTTTTGGTGTATTTCGGGCGGCAGCAGCGCCACTTACAGGCCTGGCATATGTACTACAGCGTTTTCAGCATTTCCGGCGGTCTAGTGTGAACGGACACATTAATGAATCAAATGCGTGTG